ATACACATTGCTTTCAGCTCTTGACTTTGGGTATAATGTGATAGGTGCTGCTAATTGACTTTCTGGTAATGATGGACTACAACCAGGAATTGTAAGCTAAAATACACAGTCTTCACTAAGTGTCTTTAGGAAATTAAGCTAACATAACTATATGCACAAACAACACAAAGCTCCTCATGGAAGTGTAGGGTTCTTTCAAGGCCTCCATTGACTGAGAGTGAAGAGAGTCAATTACAGGTGAAAAATCAAAGAACATGAATTTTCAGCTTGAACAATTTGGATCCCAGATATCATTACTCTTCTCCAAAGGCTGCTTTGGCTTTTCAAATGCTAAGAACTGTCAATTTCTTAGCAAAAGACCAATGAGACTTCTAGCACAAACAGTTGAGCATAGCTTTCATCTCAGTAGCAGGTCCTGACTGTGAAGGTCACAGTACTCTTAATAAAGCACAGGCTCCAATGACAGTGAATCAAACAGAAAGCTGGAAAACAGATCAGTTCCAGCAAGAATATTTTATGCTAACTGAAACTAACAAAAATGCAGTCCATATCTTTGGTGACAACTATCACTACATGTAACCCATGCCTGTGTGACTCTTGGTTTCCATACTGTATCATCTTACAATGAATGCAACAGGCAGAAGATAGTGTTCATTGCCAATCTATTTGAAGAAAAATTAACAAATTCACTATGTTCATATCTGAATCCTGGAGAACTTACCCAGAGAAGAAAGACAGCACAAAAACAAGTAGCGTATATTCCACCTCTAGTTGAGGACAATGCATAGATGAGACAACAGCTAGAGTTAATGGAAATTAACAACTATATTGGTTCTATTAGGTTGTTCAAGCCTCACTGTTAACCACAGAGAAACAAATTAATTTTATTTGGAAACAAAATGTGGTATTTCCAAGCCAGCCTTGAAGCAACAATAGTAAAGGAAGCAATCCTCTAACTAAACTTTAGCTGAGACTTTCAATTGTACTTCTACGCTGAAACTGTTTTCTGTGGCAAAGACAAGAGCTACACTGTAATGCAAATGAAAGACACTTTGAGGGATCAAGAGATGTATTAGCTTCCATATACCTATTAGGAAAGACTAGAGTTGAGATATTTGATATTTGACTACAAAGTACACCTACTTTAAACTGCCATGTTGCTTCTCTGATAGCAGTGTCCCTGTGGGTAATAGCATGATGTCTTTCCTTTCTTTTGAATTCCTGACACAAAGGCTATAGCCCATAAGTATTCTCATTCACAAAGTATAATGAGGCAGGACAGAAGCAAGGGAAGAAAGAACACCTCCCCATCTTCAGCCACATTGCAGTATAGCATCTGCTGACCATTAAGAATCTCAGAATATTGTGAAGCTTGCCAATATAGAGATGATCTTTCTTTTAGATACAGATATTTGGAATTAGAATAATAAACAGCAGTGACTCTGCCAAAGGAATAACTAAGCCTATGTGACCCCTTTTCACAGTTAGAAAGTTGTAATTTTCTAGGAGTCTTACCAGAAATCCCTATTTAAGGTAATCTCTTATCTGACCTGATTACAATCCCATCTGCAACACTGCTGGAACTATTCTATAACCTCAGTTTCCAGAAAGCAGGAAAAACATTTGAGATGTGACCTTAAAGCCACCAAAATGGCATATATAGCTACTCAAGTGCTATTGGCCTTTGAGAAGCTCAAACTCATACTTGAATATGTCTTACCTATCCCAGAGTACCTTTCTATAAAACCCTGCTACTAAATCTGTTAAATGTGCCTTTTAATAAAAAATACAACTATACTTCATACTGGCTCATTGTGCAATTTTCTGTGGCAAGTGAAAAAAAACTTGGCACTACAGAAGTGGAGGCCCATAATTCCAAAGTGAACTCAAGCTGCTGGTGAAAGTTCTGAACCATGCATCCTGTTTCATCACAACCGGCATCAACATACACACGTGTACAACCCCAACACAATGTATACACATATTTTTTCAAGTGATAACAATTGAATAACACTGAAATCCTGAGCTTTCATCTACTAATGACATTTCAAAGATCAGCCTAGAATCAAGCTAGCTCAATATCTGATTGGAGGTTGTCTGATGGGAATAAAAAAAATCTCTTGAGTTCTCAGGTCAAACACAGATTCTACAATGTTCCTAGAGTATGGAGCTTTGCATCTCTGTAACAACCAACTGCTATTCAGAACATTGTTATTATAGTGAAATTCAATGCACATTCTTGTCTGAAAGACCAGAAATCCATTCCCTTTTCTTTTTACTACTGTAGAAGAAAGAATGACTGGACAGGGGAAGGTGAAGTGGGAAGAGATGAGAAGGAAGAAGGAAGACTGACAAACAAATGAGACCATCTGAGCCACCAGTGCTCTGTTACATCTGTCCAGTGACTTGGTCCTTCTTCTAAAATGTGCTGGAAGGACAAGCAAGGGCTCTGAATGTTGGGAGGTCAGGACTCATCTGTCTTGTCGGATTGATGATGACTGAGACTGCCCAACTGCCTGCTGGCTAATGCAGGTCATCACCAGCTTAGGTACACGCTGGACAACCACAGAATAAAAATCACAGGACAGCAATTTAATTGACCTCCTTAGGCCATTTAATAAAGCAGACCGCCAAACTTGGAAGAGCAAAGAGTAATTAATGAAGGGAGCAAACAAAGGTTCATTTAGTAACTTCCAAATAAGTTCCTCTGTCTGAAGGGGGAAGAAAAGGTAGCCTGCAACAAAAAGATAAACTGCAGGTATTTAAGTCACAATGCCTTCTGCCAGGAACCGCTCATTACCATCAGATGTAGCAGTGGCAATGGGACCAGTTAGAACTAACTTTATTATTAGAAGCAATTAGGAAGAAAAGGGACAGAATTTCATTTGGTTATTTCAAAAACAAGTTTCTGTGCATAGTTTAATGAAGGCCTGCAGTGTCAAGATAAAATGTGTGTTTTACTGAAAACAGCTTTTCCAAATGACTGTTTGTTACCGGCTGGTATCTCTAGGCAGAGCAAGCCTGGTATGGGAGATTTACATGCATGCTGTCTCAGCTTCATAGGAGTGTCATAGGTAGTATGGCCTGATGAGAAAGGCTATGTATTGTGGGGCCAGAATGTTGGTATTCAATTCTTCTCTCTGACCTCCATTGCAAAATGACTTTCAGTGATTTTCTGGGCCTTGGTTTATTCACAGGAAAAACAAGTTCATAGAAGCAATCATCCCTTTTAGAAAGGATATTTAATGGGTTAGATAGTGTTATCATTATTAACACACACACACACACACACACACATATATATATATATATATATATATGGATCATTTTGGTTGTGGCTATACAGGTGTTTGAGTATATTTATATTCACACTGGGTTTTGCATGTAAAGTATAAAATAAATACTGTTTTTAAAGCCATAGTCATTTCTACATCAGTTTTTATGTAACTGGATTATCAAAAACCTTGCAGTTTTTCAGTTTGCTGAAGCAGCCCTACACAACCTTAATTGACTTTCCACTTTTAAGGTGACATTGTGGATTTCTAATATCTACCTATAGACAAGTTTTTACCAGATAAATTATCTGAGCAGCCTTAAGCTCTCATGTCATCTATATAGTTAAGGACTACTTCCGTGTAGTAAACATGTAGAAAACATGCACTTCCATAGGGAAGAACATGTGAAGCATCTCATTTGTCTCTTTCATGGGAAACAGGGTTTTGATTTCAAATGTGCTTAAAGGAAGAAAAAGAGACCTTTTACTTGAGATTTCAGAGTTGGCATGGGTGCCCCTCATGTTTCAGTAACAGTATTCAGAGACCTATTTGTTAAGTTCCCAACATTAAAACTTGGTTTTTATCAGCCACATATGGAAGTTGCTGATTCATTAGGGAATATGGCACATTGCCTCTGTGCTATGTTTTAGATTTCCAAACCAACAGCACTTAACTAATGTGCTATGGACTATAATATTGGACCCGTGTGATGTATGAAATTCTTTTCATAGACCTTAACAAGCAATGACTTGTTATTAAACTCTATTCATTTTGGAAAAGCCTAAATTTGTAAATGCCCTCCACACATTTTTGTGTTTTCTCAGCCATTTTAAAAACTGAATCATTCCCTGGTTTCCCTGAGTTAAACTGTGCCAGTCAGAATAATTTAAGTATGACCCCTTTTCAAGGAATTTTAGAAATTATACGCAGACTAAGAGAAAGAAAAAGTTGAAAATATGTAAAGTACATATGGGTGAAAATCTCTGTGGGTTCTTGTTCTAATATTCATTTTCTCTAACCAAAATGATTAACTCCTCAGTTATCACTTTCATTTTCTCTGTACTAACCAGGACTGTCTTAACATTTGAGAATTTCCTTTTAAAAAAGATGTAGAAGCTTTATTTTTCTTTTCCTTTTTTTTTTTTTTTTTTTTTTTTTTAACTGCAGGATCTACTTATGCAGCCCTAGCTGGCACTGGTATTCAAACTCTGCATCTTGCATCAGCTTCCTAGGGCATAAGACATTATGGTGTCTTTCTCCCAAGAGTTTGACACTCCTTGAACTCTTTGATCCTTTTATATTCAGTGTCCTGCATTTCATCTAGGTAATCCTCATTGGTGAACCTCTCTATAGGAGTGCTGGATTTGGGAGTGATGGTGGAGATGTAGCCTCGATCTCTCATATTGTTTGGATTTGTGGAGATCTGGGCATTTGCACTTCTTTTCTTAGCTCTGTGTCTGATAGTAACAGAACATGTTGGGGCAGAATATAAATAACACTGGTGAGCTGGATTGGACCTGGTTGGACCATGGCGAGGTATATGCAGAATTGTGCTGGGTGGGCAGAAGAGTTTTGCAAAATAGTTTAATCAGAGTTTTTGACATCCATTTTCAATGGCTGATTGTCAAAAGTGCTGCCCTAGGGAAAAAGTAGATGCTGAACAGAATGAAATACACAACACAAAGACTATGGAAGGGGGATTTTGAGGCAGATACTCATCCTTACCCTTGACCTTTCTTCTAGCTTTGTCATCATGACAACTGTGGCACTCCGTTGCTCCCATATCATTCTCCAAAAGTCCCCAAATGTTTCAGGAAGAGATCCCTGTGTTGCAATATAGGCATTTTGTTTCCTATATCCATCTATGTAGTTGGCATTCACATAGTCACTTCCTGGAATACCTGAAAAACAAGAAGTATTAGTCAATCAGGTGGCAAAACTCACAGGAGGAATCTGTGGCTCAGATTTAACAGTGATGCTATGTTACTATTCCATATCCTGCTGTAGCAGTTCTAATATAATTTAGTTTGGGTTTATGCCAGATTAAGAATATGTATTACCAGGATATCATGCTAAACTATTCAACATTTAGGGTATTGTGTCCTTATAATATGGCCAAATCACCAAATAAATTTAAAACGAAAAACCCCAGATGCCCAAAGAATTCATTTCTTTTTTCCTTACAGATTCTCTGCCTTCTTACTTGTACTAGCAATAAATAGTTTTCAAAGGTCATCACATCTTCTCATTTCACCTGATTTCCAGATAAAAACTAAATTAAAAAAAATGCCTGAGTCTGAAGATGGAATTTAAGTTGGAATATCATCCATTGCAGGTTTAGCTTCTTACACATCCTATAAATTCACTCAATCATCCCAAGAATAGTGTCAATGAATTCCTGTTTTGATCATCTTTCAAAAGGAAGAAAAGGAATGCCAAGCAGAGGCTGTCTCTCTACTGCTCCTGTTTCTGAACCTCCAAAAGGTAATGTCTCATTTAAGACTTGCAGGTTTGTAAGTGCTTCAGTTGGTAAAAATTTTTTCTTCTACCTATATCCTAGAATATACTCTGTCTTCTCCTCCTCCTGTCTTAGTTGCCAGGATTCAGGGCACATTGGATACTCCTTTATACCACTATCCAATACAGGTAATACACAGAGTTTTTGCTGAACTTGCATTTGCTAAACTGGGACACAGTATAAGGTGAATGATGCTAATTTAGGGAGAAATCACTTACATCTGAAACAGATGACCACTGTGATACTCTCCACAACCCAACTAGGAAGCAAGAGAGCTAGCTGTGGTCCAGGACCCAGAACTCCCATAGGCCATGTCCATACCTGTTGCCTAGCCCTAATGGGCATGGTCAGGGCAACAGGTATGCGTGGGGTGGATATCTCACTACAACAACCAGTTGCAATATTTACTGAAGATCAAAGATGTTCTTTACAATGATTTTCTGACTTAAAGTCTAATTCTCTGTTGTTGTTATAAATAAGAGATAGAAGAGCCGATTTGTGTTTCCTCTGATGGGAAGTGACTGAACTGACCAAGAAAACTAATGTTACTCTTTAGGAAAGGAATACATGATATAGGGCAAAGGAAGAAAGATTGAGCTACCTGAGAGCACCTGAAAGGACTTATTTTACTGTGTTGAGACACAGCTCCAATTCTGAAGGATGTTGACTATAGACAGAGGAATTGTGTCTCTGCTGCAATGATAAATTTTCAAATAATCATAATCAAAAGGGTAGTAGGTTTCCTAGGGAGATAATGAGCTCCTTGTCCCTGGAGAGAAAGAAATGCTTTACAGGGAAACAGCATGCTGTGGAAGAAACACTAGAACATATGCATGGTCCCTGCTGCCTTGGGAAATATGTGCCCTGCAGTTGCAGGAAAATATTTTTTCTTTATATTGGAACATGTGCTCCCAAGCTAAAAAATGTTATATATCCCTGATTGCCAGTTACAATTACTTTGACTGCCAGTTGTATAACTGATCCTTCTGAGAAGAATAATGAAATTCAGATGGAAGTCACTTCACCCTGATATGAACACATGGATATAGGATACGACCACCATTAGGTGGAAAAGTCTTTTGAGCAGAAAGTGAAACACACAGTTGGCCAGAACATTATTCATCCATTTCAGCTACTCAAGAAACAGTTTGAGTTCTGGCAGTTCATGACTGATAAAGACCCTGATCATCCCCCAGTACCAAACTCCCACAGATACAAAGATATCCTAAATACAGCCCTTGGATTACAGCCACATAGAAGGGCACATTTTTCGACAGCCATTATAAAAGGAATTAACTTTTTTAAAAACCATGAAAAATAAAATTTGGGGAAGATGGATTATTAGTAAGTAAGGGCTGCACTTAGAAGAGATAAAAATAAAATATTTCTGCCTGAAGATTATCGAGTGGTTGAGATCAACACCAGATACTTTATAAATTTATATCTTGATATTTTGAAAGAAAGACAAGTGAAAATAAAATATAGCAATATTAGAGAATGTTGATTATCAGGCTATCAGGTCCACCCTGAAAATATGCTGAGGTTCTTCTTCCATTTTGACATTGTTAGTGAGTGGATGATTTTCAGAATGAGCACTTATTTCTATCATGATACTTTATCCATGCTAGCAGAATGCTAGGTCAGGCAAGTTCTCTAAGCCCTACAATATGGAGATGCAAGGGATACTGTCCCAGGAGATCTTGTCTCTACTAAGTCTTACATCAAACATCTTGTCATGAGCTGTGCACAGTAAGAGAAAAGACTGAAGGAAGGGTGATGCCTTGTTCTTCTAAAGATACTAACCCAGCATGGAAACCACATGTATCATGTAACATCAGGCAGTTTCAAGAGACTCCAGTTTTCAATTTGACATATTCAGGAATGTGTTCTGACAAATCCTGGGAAAATGTACATTCTAATGGCCTTCTGAACTTTGGGTGCCATGAAACACCTTCTTAGAGACTCTTGATTAGGAGGTGTCTGTGGGGAGGCTGGATCTATGAAATTCGTTCACATTATGTGGTGACCTTATGCAATGAATACATATTAATTTATTTAATCTTTAATGCTCTTTTCAAAAAAAAATAGCCTGCACATGCTATATTAACACTCATCATAGCTCACTCTAAGCCAAGTGTGTGGGAATAAACTGAATTGCTTTGGGGGCTCTGGTGATAGAAATCTAACTTAAAATGCAGGGATGAAAGAAGAGAGAATTATTCTAAATTAAACTGCATTACTGTTTATTTACTTGGATTCAGGAAGACATCTTTCAGTTGTTTAAAATTAGTTTTTGGCATGGGTGATTGCAATTTTGCTTTGTTTATGGTATAGGAAGGAGTCATTAAAATGGCAAGTGCATAATCCAGAGTTCTTTGTCTTGTACTAGTCCTTCTAAAGCAACTATATTTTGCAATAAGCTTTATTTTTTGAGATGGGTTCTCATTATGTAGCCCTGGGTGGCCTTGAACTCACAGATATCCATCTTCCTTTGTACACTGAAGGTATGCATCACGACCTTACTATAATTGGCTCTTTTCAATATTATTGTTCATGACCAGCTTACATCAATGACTTGTACTTTTTTTGTTGCTTTAGTCCATTTTATAAAACAAGTAGAATTTTAGAATTTCTTCTATATTGATCCATGTATGTTTTCTAATTAGCAATAATTGTGTAAACAGTTCCAGTACCAAAATGACTATTTCACTCTAGTCAGATGCCTAAGTCTAGATCCCAGCTGTACAGTATGTCCACATAGTCTAATCCTGTGTTAAACTGAAGTTCATCATCAATGGATTCCTCCTAATGGCACACTGGTTACTTACTCATGCTCAGGATAAAGCCTGTTTGTTCTGAGTCCACTATTCCCAGAGTTGTAAACCCAAGCCTTTAAAACAGGGAGGCAGGGATGAAGAGATAGCTCTGCAGTTCAGTTAAGAGCTGGCTACTCTTTCAGAAGACCTGGTTCAATAAGCAGTACCACACACAGCAACTCAAAACTATGTGTGACTCCTGTACCCTCTGAGAGTACCAGGCACACATGTAGTACACAGACTAACATACGGGCAAAGGACTCATACAAATAAAATTTAATAGTAAATAAATAAAGTAGGGGAGTAAATGTTTGACAGAATCACACTATTATCTCCTTTGGGAGCAGCATATTACAGCAAGTACCCATTCAAGCCAAATGAGGCAATTCTAAGGTTCCTGTTTACTTGTTGGTAATTTCTAGTTATAGTTCAAGGTAGAAATAACAAATTTGAGCATGAACTCTAGACCCATACCACCACCCCTCCTTTTTGAGACAAGATCTCACTTTGAAGTAATGGCTAGTCTGGACCTCACTATGTAGACCAGGCTAGCTAGAAATTCTAGAGATCTGCCCATCTCTGCACTCTCCTATAATCCTTAGACTAAAGGCATGTGCCCCATCACACCCAGCTCCCATTTTCTTAAAGGTCTGCAAAGCTTTGGATAATTAGCTATGAGTTCAAATTCAAGGACTGTAGTCCTTTTCTTCACCAAAAATGAGACAATGCTTCAAAACATTGCTTCTGTATGTGCTTGACTACTAATATAACAAGAAAGACACCTAAGAAAGAAGCTACATGGTTTGAAGGAATATTGAGCCAAGCAATTAATGACTTAGAAATGATTTACAACCTTGATAAAATATTGCAATATCAAGGAATATTTCACTTGAGATATTTTGTCATGGCAGGGTTAAAAGAAAATCTTTCTTCTGTACTAATTTGAACCAGACTAATTAGGCTACAGGCCCAGAAAACAACAAAACCCATTCAATTTACTGTGGATTATAATGTTTTGATCAGAATATAATTTGACTTGAAAAGATTTATTCATGTTTAAAGAGTGTTTGTAATTATGAATGGTCAGTAATAGCTTTTCTGCATTAAAGTTGCATGAAAACACAGCACATGAATTATTTTATCAATACACAATAAAAGGAATGTTCACATTTTTGTGCCACATCATGAAGGAGAAATCCTATGTGTAAATTAGAATCTTGGGACAATACCAAGCACTCACTAAGAATTTTTGGAACTTGACCAGGAACCATTCCCCAACCACTCAGCCTGTCTAGATGCTGGGTAGCTTATCTGCTAAACCAAGGTGTGTTGGACAAATTGATTTCTGCAAGTCCTTCAGAGCTCTAAGATATGGTATCTCTATGGTATCCTTAATTTCCTTGAATTCATCCACTTCTGCTGAGTTATTTTAAGATAAACCGAATCGTTTAGTTCCTTAGATTTGGTAGTGATACACTCTAATGTTCCTGCAAGCTGACTCCCACTGCCTCTACCTCTAACATATTTAAAGCAGACTTATTTAGTGGGGCTGATACTGCAAAGCTTG